TTTTGAAAATATCAAAATAACTAGAAACTTCACCACAAACTTAAAAAGTTCCACAAAACGGAATTTTTTTAACAATAACAACAACAAGCGATCTTAGAGGGGTAAAAGTAGTGTAATCACTACGCGTGGCGAGGGACGACTGTTTTTGTTGTCCTAAGTACACTTGTTTAGAACATCAAACAATGGGCTTTGGGTTTTTCTACCTGCTCTTGAACTATCATCATTTATGATAGGATCATTTATCCTGCACGTGCAGCTTGCGCTTTTAAGAGGTCGTGTTTGATAAAGTACAATTCTTAAACTATTTAATTTACAATTAAGATTTTTATGTTTTTGGTTAGGATATGTTCTGATCTATCTGATTAATGTAAAAAATCATTAGGTAAATGACTTACTTTTTTCATTAAAGTACAAAATGTGAAAAAACAACCGATTTTTTTTACATTTTTTTCTTTTCTAAGTCATTTTAGGATCTAAATACAATTTTGCATTTAAAAGTTTGCTTTTATTTTATTACTCGTATCTTTTAAGAATGTAGGACTTCTACAACGGTGAATATTGTAATTTTAATGCGCGGGGTCGAGGTGTTGACACCGAAAAATTTAAATGGCTACCATTTAAATACAGCTAGGTTTAAATGAGATTTGAGACATGATTTATCGATGAAATTGATTATATTTTATAGCATTAAAAGCTCCGACACCGGTAACCGTACACATTGGTCTCATGTATCCACGCACAAAACTATTCAACTTACTGGATATAATAGAAGAAACAGTTTTAGATGTTGTTGGTAATAATGAAGTGCAATTAGATACATTACATGCCATTCTGGATGAGGTTTCAAAAAGAACATTACCTGAAGTAGGTTGCGCGGATCACAAGCATGCAGTTACAGTGCAAGTTATCGATATGTATTTAATTATGCGAGGACTTTTTAAGTAAATATATTATGTAATTAAAAATAGTGAAAAGAAAACTAAAACAAAGACTTTACGGAAAAATGCAAAATATTATTGATTCATGCACTTGTACTTACTTGTGATTAAAAACTAAAAAATAAATTACTTTAAGAAATTTTGTAAGTAATCGCACATTGCCAAATCTTTACAATGCAAGGCATATATATATATATATATATATATATATATATATATATATTTTAATAGAATACAGAGAGTTTCATTATATATTATTAATTACATGTAAGAAAAAATGTTCTGTTATATAGTAATCACATTGCAAAGGCCACAATTATATTGTCTCCTTGTTAACTAAATAATTAACAGATGGTCTAATGGTATGTATAATATATTTCCGATAATTTTAGTACTATTTATTGACTCTTTATTTATTTTGAGAAAAGTTGTATTTATAATTATAATATATTTGAAGAAAAATATTGTAAACATCGTTAAAAACAGTAATTGTGGTGTTTTTTAGCAACAATACCTTATTTCTTATCATCTGTTTGTTATGTTGTTGTATCTGTTTTTTATTGAAAAAAATCAATAAAATCGTATCAAAATTTGCATAATATTGTTGACAAAAAAAAAAAAAAAAAAAAAAAAAAAAAAAAAAAAAAAACCACAAAAATTTTTTTTTTTAATAAAAATATATTTTACCAAAAAAAAAAAAAATAAAAAAAAAAAAAAAAAAAAAAATTATTTAAAAAAAAAAAAAAAAAAAATAATATATTATATTAAAAAAAAAAAAAAAAAAAAAAAAATTTTTTTAAAATTAAAAAAAAAACACATTTCCATTGACCGTCCTTCCCCCCTTCCCTTACCCCCCCTGTTAATATTTTTAATCCACCATAACACCATTTTAATTATTCCTTATTTTCACCCAAAAGGAAAAAAAAAAAAAACGGCGCTGACGTCGGTGAGTAGTGACTGCGAAGTTAGCTGTTTATGAGTACAAGTAGATGAAGTTGAATAATGTACAAATTTTCATTTCATTTTTAATGAGAAAATTTTCATGCTCTGTTTTTTGTAGTTTTTGACAAAAAGAAACATTAAAAAGTGGAGAAATATTTTATTGTGCGTAGATGTGCAAGTAGTTTAGCATCTGATCGGAAAAATAGACTGAAAATGACTTTTATTGACGGAACTTAGTGATCGCAGCGCCTCACTTATGGTGTCTATATTTTTAGGACACTATTTTCTACAGCGATCGTTCTCCTGTTCTCTAACCTTCATGATGCTAGCTACAGCAAGCGTGTGTTGCGCGCGTTTGTTGCCCTGTATGAGGTGTCTATGAGGGGGTAATCTGTGTTTTCTCACACACCTAACTTACAACTTATAGTAGAAGCGGCCTTAACAAAAGCCCGTAATAGGCTTAGTGATACAGACACTCGCACGCGGACGTAAGGTGCATTTTGAATTAATACGCGCGCCGCATTTTTTTTTGCAACGATTTAATCGTTAGGCCAATTTGACAAAGGGTCTTCCGAAGTGTGCAAAGTATTATGAATCTCAGATAGGTTATAACTAAGTTTAAACTCGCATGTTTGCTATCAGAGAGTGATCCTTCTGTTTTTGTACTATTATTTATTCTGTGATTAAACGAAAAAGTGACACTGAAAAAGATAAACATATATATATCTCAGAATTTAGCCTGCAAGAGAATGAGATGGAATACAGTATACAGTCTTTCCTATTAACTTGGTTTCCTCTGTGTGCATCACTTTAAAATTATTAACTTCAAGAAAAGAGCTTACTCATTTCTAAAAGGTCGATAACGCACCTGCATTTCCCTTGGCGTTGCAGTTGTTCAAGGGCGGCAATAGTTACTTATCATCAGGAGCGCCGTATGCACGTTTGCCCTCCTTTATATAAATAATATTAAAAAACTATGTTGAACTTTGGACGAATTATACATTCGTCCAAGGTGCCGTTTGCTACCCTCATTCTATAAAAAAGGGGCAACTGCTAGTTGTAAAGTGCGCGCAAGATAACTCTGCGCGCGACTGATGGCGTGCTTAATGTTGCCAGCTTAACTAATATTTTTTCCTTCGTTTAATCTTATTACTGGAATTGTATAATTATATCAAATTACATAAATTACCTAATTGATTACCAAATCTCAATTAAAAAACTGTAATGTTCAGCCTAAAGTTACAAAGACCTAATAATTTTTTAAACCCCATATTTATTGTTTAAGATCCGCGTAATAAATATATTTCTTGATTCTAACTTTCATAAGTTTGATACCTCACTACACAAGTTTAACTACGCCACTACAATTTTTTTTACACAATTACAGGTACCTATTATATGCGTGTATAAAAAGGACTAATACTAAGATTAATGACTACTGATATTTTGTCTATAATAAATTTTTCCAAAAAGGTATTTTGAAACAACTGAAATAGCATTATCATAATTATTATAAAGAACGAAATAAAAAGTCCAAGGAAACCTTGTAAATCTTTTATTGAATACCTATTATTATTTATAAATTTGGTGTAACAATGGTCCTGCAGTGGATCAACGCCTTCCATTCGCATATCTTCATCAGAATCCATGCTAGAGTCTTCATCAGATGACTCGGATGTATCGCCTATAACATTAATTATAAATTTATCAATTTCCATATCTCAGCCTGTGTGATTGGACATATTTATCTTCTATTTTTTCTACATGTTGGCATACGTTGAACCATTCTTCTGTCGTTAGTGTTCTAAACGCCGCCTCAGTAATAGCAGCTATTTCGCTAGGAGCTTGAGTGATATTTTTTTCCCGGCGTCACAATTTTAGAAGATGAAGCTTCTGCTATATTACCCTCTTGACTTATCTGGGTGACGGTGCGTTCAGAAACACCTAAAACAAAATAAAAACAATGCATTATAAATACATGATATTAATGACACGAGGAAATTAAAAAGGAACAAATAGAGAAAATTGGGGAATTTTATTGTAATGGCATCCCTAAAAATTACCTGTTAAATATGCAACGCGGGCTCTAACTTTGGAAAACGGTACTATAGGCCCGTTATTGTCTCGTTCTTCTTCACAAGCACGTTTTACCTTCAAAATAACATCCCTGCCAGCACTTTTAATCACTTTCGGCATAATGATAACGATTAATTACTGCAAAAAAGAATAAAAACAGGACACCTACCACTCTGTTTAGACACTTGCCATAAACAGTAAGATGGCGGCACACGATTAGTTCCAATTTTGGCCGCGCGCAGAGTTATCTTGCGCGCACTCTAATAGTGTTCTATCAGGAGAAAACAACTCACCTGATAATAAGAGGATGCTGTAGATGCCCATAGACTATATCTATCCTCGCTCAAGAATCAAAATGTTTTATGAGCCACCTATAATTATATATTCCACAAACTAATAAGAGTATTAACGTAGATATATTCCATCTAACGAGGACGAGACCAGTAACTCTATACTAACCACAGAGTCCCCAGTTGAGTCAATCCATACGTTGGTTCATGCTGCAGCTATAATATAGTTCCAACGCGTCTTCACCTCTTAAAAAGTTAATTGTTTATAGATTAAGAGCTTTAGTTGGAAACCTGCACAGACACAGTATCTATTGATGTGTGTGTACTGCTCCAGTTTCATCGTTTGAATAATGACGAAGTGGATTTTGAAACACATAAGTGGTGCGTTTTTATAAGAAATGACGAAATATTAGTAGAAATGATGTAACAAATGCTACAAATCTCAAGACTCTTTATCCTTCACATACTATCGTCATTAACTGTCCGCTGGGTTATGCTATCGCCAAAGTATTCCAAAAACTTTGCAAAGTTATGAATTAGCTTATTGTAAAAAAAATTATGAACAGAAAACACGTTAGACTAGGCTGTATGTGGATGGGGTCTATGCATCATTGCATTTAAGTAAATAAGTAAAAGAATTATGAAAGAAATTATGATTATGGAAAGGTTTATGATTTATGGTACAGAGAAGGTTTTGTTTGCAGATAAATAATGAAATTATTTAATTATAATAATTTAATAGAACATTAGTTTAATGGGAAATTCGAACAATAGAAGTAAACTTCACGGAGACAACAAGCAATCAGTGAATTCAAGTCGCAACGGCCAACAATTTGCAAGTCAGGTAATTTACGACAAAACGAAAACTTGCTAATGTCATTCTCAGCTGAACATACGTAATATGTAAACGCTTTGTTGTTCATAGAAAAATATTACTAGCTTTCATAAATCTAACATCATTGACTTTTAATATACTATATTAAATTCCCCTCGATATTGATTCGTAGGTCCTTTGTTGTTGTTTGTTTGTTCTTTGTTATTTGAAAATGTGAATAGTGACGTAAATTTATTTTTGCGTACAGTTCAGTCTCTCCCATTTCGTTGGCAACCTTAGCGGGCGCTCTTTTGTGAGTCTAACAAGCAACCAGTCTGTGTACAGCGCATCGCGACCTTGGTCTCGGATTTCTAGACGAAGGTTAGTAGAACACACACACACGATAAAATATTTAAAAAAAATTGAATATACATTTATTTTACTCTCATTTTTGAGTTTGACTTATATACTTGAGTTTGCCTTAAATATAAACACCCGAAACATCAGCAAATCATTTACAATATTATGTAGTGTAAGTTTTCTTTTCCTGTGTTTATGGAATTAATATATCACTGTAAATTTCAGATGGAATGATTCAACTTTAAAAAACCATTTGGAAGCTAGCAAAACCGCTTGGCCTGTCAGTCACAATGAGTCAATTTTTCTGCCTGAATTTTTCATTACTACACACTCTTTAAACAAAAATTATGAAATTGTAAATACAATAGCTAAAGGTGCTTTTGGAGAAGTAGTAAAAGTAAAAAATAATATTGATGGAAAAGCATATGCACTGAAAGTGCTCAGTAAATCAAAGGTAACTATTTATTATATTGTAAGGAAGAAAAAGCATGGTAATATATATCTTCCATTTATGTTATAAAATATATTGCTATTTTAAATATGGGATAAGTTAATACTATATATCAAAGGATATATCTTGACATATATTGCTATATACATCTAAGGATTTTTCATGAAAAATTACTACTCAGGCAGGTAATGTTTACAAACTGTTGTTAGATATTATGTTGTAGATTATTAGATAATTAAAATGTGCTAACACTGAAAGGAATATATTTGCAAAGAAGAAAATAAGATTGATCAATACTAAGCTAGTTGTGATTATTTTAGAATGTATAAGATACAGACATGCTGTTGCATCCACAACTCTATGTCCTAGCGCGTGTTTTGTGTGTGGGCAGTAATAATTAGAGATGGGCCAAATATTCATTTTATATTCAGTATTCGGCATATTCGGCAGGTTTACCGAATATTCGGCTAAATCACTGAATATTCGTTAAAGTTGTATTCAAAGTATCCACCGTATGGAAATGTACAAATTGAGTAATGCCATGTCTTTTATCATTTTACTGTTGAAAGTATATTTATTTATGGGTTAAATCTACTTGTATAACAATATATTTTTGAGGCACTGTAGATTTATTTAGCAAATAAAAAGCTTGAAAAAATTTTGTTTGGAATCAAACAAAGAAACATTACATTACAGTCGTCAGTTTCTCTAAAATTGGTCCAAATAGTAGAAGATCTCCTGCCACTCATTTTCACCACATACTTATCAATTTTCACTAAGAATACTTTTTTCTCATAAAAATATCCAAAACATAAGCATGTGCCGGCAATTTGCTCAGTACTAAATGATGCAATAACATGTCACGTGTGGCGGGGGAGTAAGGGGAAGGCTCTGGCGGTAATCCCGCACGCTTTACGGTAACAAGTTTCGACATAAATTGGTTAGGTACCTCGGTAATCCTGCCGAATAATGTTCGGCCGAATATTCGGTTCGGTAAAAATTTTACGGATTGTTCGGCCGAATATTAGTATTCGGTGAAATCCATATTCGGCCCATCCCTAGTAACAATGCAATTATTTGAGCCTTGAAATCTCCCCGAAGAAGTTCAACAGTTCTTTGATGTTGCAAGCAACTGCAGGAAGTGATCCCAGCGTACCAAGATGTTTAGCCCTGTATGCAGCGACCTCTGTTTATGTCAGCAACATGTAGGCCGCTGTTTTTTCCTCCCCATACATGCCCTGCACAGGGGACTATCTGTAACACCTATGTTAAATAAATGTTTGTTGAAGGAGCCGTGTCCTGTGATAGCACTTGTTATTATTCTAATTTGTGGCTTGTTCAATATCATTAGAACATCTTGTCTACTAGATTTATCCAAAGTAGAGCTTGTTGACTAGGGAAGTTTGTTCGTACCAGTGAATGAATGTTACCAAAAGGGATGGGTATTATTGGTACTGGCCCTATAGCGCCTGAGCCGATCCTCTTCTGGCCAGTTCGTCTGCTGCATCGTTGCCTCTGAGTCCACAGTGTCCCTTTATATATTGCAGAGTCATATTGTGGTGTTTACGTACCTTATTTAGTAGTTGATGTTCATTCATATATTAGTCCCGAGCGTTTACCACATTGCAACTCAGAGCTGTACCTCTACCTCTATGCAGTTGGTCAGTATTCTGATGGAGGAGTCTTTTACCTTCCTAGCATCCATTGCTATGGCCGCTTGAATGATACCCATCCATTCTGTCTAAAAGACTGTGTTATTCTCACCTCTTCTCTCTTGTCACTCTCACCTGAGATACAGATTTATCCTAGTTCAGGTGCCTGTTATTGTAGACTATTTTGTAATTTAAGACTTATTGGAATAATTTGTGCAGTTTATCAAAATAAATTATTATAATTATTATTATATTATTCTCATTACCCAGTGGTGTACATATGTGGGATATTAAGACCCTCAAGTTTAGAATGTATATGTACCTTTGTTATCTTTATTGTTTTCATCGGTCCATGCCATTTGAATATTTGACGTTAATTTGTTTTGTAGTTATTTATGTTTTTATTATGACCGTTGAATGAAGCTTGACTGAAACTTATGAATATTTTGCACTATTGGTTATTCATAGTGCAAAATACCATATTATAATTATTATATAAAAATAATGAAATCTCTAATAGCAAAAAAGGCATATCAAAGATTATTTCTGAATACAAATAAAATAAAAGGTCGGGGAATAAGTTTCCTTGTTTATTATATTCAAATTATTTCTTTGTTTATTATACTGGTAGAGACACGCTGCAGCTATAATATTATAGTTGTAACATGAATGGGTCGGCTCGACCGGGGAAGGACCACACTCTCACAGAATATCAGCATAAAATAGCAGCTTAATACTGCTGTGTTTCGTATGGTGGGTGTAGAGATCTGGCAGAGAGAAAGAGAGAGGCATTCTATCTTAGTCCTCAGGGGAGATAACGCATCTACATTTTGATTATTAATCGGGGATAAATGTAAATGTCTATGGGCCACAGCATCCACTAACCATCAGGTGGACTGTGTGCTTGTTTGTCACCCTTATTCTATTTTAAAAAAATCAATTTTTTTTTCAAACTTTAATTATTTTTAATTACAATATGTATGTGCCATTTTATTTGATAACTTTTTGGCATCTTGTAAGAAGTGACATTATCCCGTTACTTTAGAATTGTACGGATTTTTGATAAAAAATGTGACAAGAAGTTTTGATAGTCCTCTCTTGATGTTAACCTAACACTACCCAAGGAATTCTTAAGGGACCGAAATAGATGAAAATCTGAGGGTGCAAGGTCAGGACTATATAATGGATGCATTAACATTTCTCTACCAAGCTCTCTCAATTTTTACTCAGTGGCCAAAAATGTGTGTAGTCGGGCACTGTCATAATTAAAGACTGCTCGTTTTGCTTAATTGCTGCAGTTTTTTCTCAATATCTTGCTTGAGTCTCATTAGTTGTTAGCAGTAGAGATCCGAATTGATGGTTTTGTTCAGCAGTAAAAGCTCATAATAAACAATGCCTTTGCAATCCTACAACGCACACAGCATCACCTTATTGTGTGTTAATCCGGTTTTCATGATCTTTTTCCCACATTCTTTTTGTAGGTGATCCTCCTTTCATCACAGTGAAATCAATATTTTATTAAATAGATAATCATCAGTCAAAAATATTTAATAGGTAATCGCAAATGAGTATTACGATTCATTAGGTTTCTGTCAGTGAACTCGTGTAGTACCCAAATATCGGGCTTTTTAGTATAGTCAGACTTTCAAATGTATAATGATGTTCAAAAAAGCTAGTAAAAAAGTTTTACTTGCATTTGAGTTGTTATAAAAAATAAAAATACTTAAGTATTTCAATAGATGAAGCAACAACTTGCTAAGACATACAGAAAGTTGTGATGTAAATGGCTCATTACTGTGTTTTTTGGTATTCGTTAGGGCTTATGTACAGCACTCGCTTGTGAAGGACTGTAATGATGATGATGATGATGTTTCAAAATAACGTTTTATATTTTAAAAGGTATAATTTTGTGCTTTCAGCTTTTTTATATATTATAATAATATATATATGTATATATATTATAATAATAGTAATAGTAATTAAATATATGTTATAATAATAGCCTTTAGCCCTATTAAAATATACTACTTTTGCCCACCATGTGTTTAAAATGTAATACTACTATACCATAGAGTATGTGGGACACTCAATAAGTTTTGAGATGTACAAAAAGTATTCTAGATACTATGAATATTTCTTTTACATCTTTTCAAAATATTCACTATCATGCTCTCTATACAAAATTCCATTCGCCTAAACCAACTCTGAAAACACTTTTGCCAGTCTTGATCTGACAGGTCGGAAATCGCTTCTTCGTAGACAGCCACGGCTTTTTCGATGCTTGAAAAAAACTTGCCTTTTATTTTTTCTTTGACTCTTGGGAACAAAAAGAAATCACAAGGAGCTAAGTCAGGACTGTAGGGTGGGTGACATACAGTTTCACCACTAGATTCCTCAATAAATGCTTTTGTTCTAAGGGAGATATGTGAAGAGGCGTTATTGTGATGCAGCATGATTCTCCGAAGACCGGTCTTTGATCTTCTCTCTCGCACAGCTTGAAAAGCTTTGGGTAATGCAACCATAGTATACCATTCAGAGTTGACTGACCTACAATTTTCCAGCATTGACGTCGGCAAATGTCCGCTCCGCTAAAAAAACTAGCCACCATTTTTTGCCGAAGTTGCGAGGTCTTTGCAGCTTCGCCGGTAACTGCCCTTCTGAGTAGACCCGTACCGATGATTGCCTTTTATTTTACGGATCATAATGTTAGATCCATGTCTTGTCACCAGTAACGATTTCTGAAACACGCCTGAAAGCCCCGTTATCAAAACGTAGACATGGAATTAATACTAGTTTTTACGGAATTTATCGCGTATATTTTAACTTTTTAAATACCCGACGTTTCGAACGCTTTACAGCACTCATGGTCACGGGCAGGACTGAGATGTTCAACGTCCATATGTCATAGTTAACCGCGGTTACCATAGATTAAAATTTAACTTTTGTTCCGATCTATGCAGTATGAACTTATGGTATCTTGAGCTATGGTACGTGTTCACAGACTGCAGACTTCCCCACAGTTGTACAGGATCGCCCCCGTCACTACATCAGATTTGATAGACCGCAGATCCTCGCTAAAGAACACCGATTCCTTCCAAGGATGATTCGCGAGGCTATTGAAATCAAAAAACATCCTAATTTCAATAGAGAAGATGGCTGGGTGCTACCATCTGCTTGGGATCCTATAATAAATAAAATTAAATCCCAACCAAAGCATACAACTGCAAGACTTCAAGATACCATAAGTTCATACTGCATAGATCGGAACAAAAGTTAAATTTTAATCTATGGTAACCGCGGTTAACTATGACATATGGACGTTGAACATCTCAGTCCTGCCCGTGACCATGAGTGCTATAAAGCGTTCGAAACGTCGGGTATTCAAAAAGTTGAAATATACGCGATAAATTCCGTAAAAACTAGTATTATTTCAATGTGTAGTGTTCGCGTAAATATAAGAAATCATTATGAAAACGTAGACATATTTCATTCCCCAATCCACACGAGTTTTTTCGCTTTCGGAGAGCAAACAAGGGATCCATCGAAAACAAAGCTTCCTCACTCCCAAATGTTGATGTAGGATGGCATGAATGCTCCCCGAACTAATGCCTACAATCTTTTCGATGTCCGTGTATGTGATTAGTGGGTCTTGTCGCACCAACATTTCAGTAGTCCATACATTTTCTGCCGTTACTGCTGTTTGCGGGGCCCCAGTTCTTTGGTCATCTTTAAGGTTAATTTTACCCCTTTTGAATTCAGCAAACCACCTAAATATTGTATATATAAGCACTAATTGTTGCGCGTGATGGAGCTGAGTCCCCTAATGCTGATTGTAACCGTTGTAAACTTAATTGTTCAGTTAAATCAAATTTAAAATCGTAATAAATCATAGCGCGCAAATGTTCACGGTTAAGATTAGCTTGCTACATATTTATTTATCTATGGTTAAGATCCATCGTTTTAAATGAAAAGCATGGGAAACGTTGCAGTAAAATAAATAGAACTTAGTTTTTTTTTTAATATTGAACAATTGGCTTATGGAGTTCTATTTTTTAATAAATTTGCTTTTTAGAAACATATAACATGGGTGCGTTCCATTTTTAAAATTTTCTACTATATATAGGTCACTCAAAACTGAGTGACCTATGTATAGTAGAATACTATATTTTATAGTAGAGCTGGCAACCCTAATCCTTATTGTGCTTGTTTCTTAGTTTTCACTCTTGTATAATAAACTAATAGATGCCTGTTGTGTGCTATTATGCTAAAATAGAAATTCATTTTGTTTTGTTGTTGGAAAAAAAGGACATTTCTTTTTATTAACTGTTTATATAGTGCCTAATGCATTGTTTTAGTTGTCTAAAACCATCTTCGTATTATTTATAGCCTTTTGAATGTAACCCGTTTGGGGCATTACGGTTGGATGGTTTCAAAGTCTATAACTGTAACAGACATAGGTAGAAACATTTTTTCTGTTCTATATAGATAGATGTATTATACACACACCTACATATTTCTAAAGAAATTATATGGATTGCATATTGAAGATGGTCTTGATTCAAAAGTTTGTTTGTCTATTTTCAATCTTTTCATAATTCTGTTTTGCAATTATGATTTTAAATTATCTTTATTTCAGATAGTGAGTGAAAGCGCTGTGAACCAAGTAAAGGCAGAGGCGCGCATTCAATCGGCTTGCGGACATCATCCCTTTATCGCTGGCGCCGTGTCACGCTGGCAAACAAAGAAAACACTATATATTGGTAACTCTTATTATGAGAATCTCATTAATACCCTATACAGTTCAGACAGAAAGAGTCCATGGTAGTTTAAGGCCTAAGCACTCATCTTAATTTCAAACATGGAATACTATAATGCATACATAATAGAACGGGGGAGTGGGTGGAGCCTATGTAGCCACTAAAATCTCACTAACATGTCAATTCACATGTATAAATGTCAACACGAGATGTGTTTCGACGTAACAATCGTTTCCCAATTTCATTTATATAGAAAATACCAAATTGCACACTATTTACATATAAATATGTATTAAAATACGATTTTTTTAATGATTTTGAATATTAATCAAAAGTCTAAAATGTATAAATTTACTGTCTGTCAAAACAGCGAATCGGGTTTGTAGTAGTGATAATACGACGTAATTGCTTGTATGTGTGCTCCCGGCGACGCCGAATCTAGTACAAAATAAGTTTGACAGCCGTTCTATTGTGTATTATAGTATTCTATGATTTCAAAGTATGAGTGTAACCTCTGTTCAAATACCCAACAACACCAATGAAATTGTTTTTTGCAATTTAAAGTGCTGATTTACTATGTGCTTGGGCGGTGAAGGTTAACGGCATGTCTTAGGAAAAACTTATTTTAAGGACATGTGAACAACAAGTACACAAGAGCAAAGTGAAATTTGACTGTGACTAGCAGTGGGACATATATGGGCTGTAATTTTATTTATTTACGTAAAAAAATACGTGACGGTAGCCCAGTTGTATGAATTGGTTCAGACTTTTAAACTTAGATAACTCTGGGTTTGAATCCACTATTTGACTACTGTGGTGAACCACTCTTAACACAAGCATTTTTTTAAGCTTACTTAGAGTGTTTAACGGGAGTAGAAGCATTATGAGTTTTTTTTAAAAATTTGGATCAAACCATTTTATTAAATTCTAAAAGCTTGGTATTGACTCTCAAAATCATTTATTAATTAGTGATCTCATAAGACCTACTTCAAAATAGCATAATACTTAAATTAGTACAAAAATTCGATCAGAGTGTATGATAGAACATAGCTTTAGAGGTCCCAGAGTAAGGACCTATAAAAACTATATGTTATGGTAAGGATTCTTACTGGACACCATTATCATACTTAAAAAATCAATATTCTATTCTGCGACGCAGCAATTCAAGGATATGCAGATTTTTACTTATGAAATACCTCTGCACTATCTAATCGAATTTGTGTCTATAAAGAACAAATATAATTTTTATGTAACATCCATCAAGGTAATTATTTAGGAAACCTGAAGTAAGTGAAAGCCCCCATGCCTAAGGAAATTTCGCATGTGTAGGGTTTAGTGAAAAACTATTATTACATTAATTATGGCTAATATCCCCCCTTTTGATGGAATATATGGGGAGGAATGTCTAAGATTAGTTATAGACCTTTAGACTTTAATGGATGTATTTGTTTTTGTTGATACTTTGATGGACAAGTTCAAAGTTCACTTATGACACAATAATGATCACTTGGGGAAGCCGTGATAATCACTTCAAAGTTATGTGACCCATTATCGCACTCTAAATATAGGCATATCTGTATGAATTATAGACTTTGCATCTGAAGGGATAACGATGTTAGTTGTATAAATTTATAACTTGTAAACATAATGTTGGTGGTAATTAAATTGCTTGAAAATAAGTTCGAGTAAAATAATGTAGCAACATAAAGCTTATAAGTTCCTACTCGTTTTTGAGGTTTTTAGGACAGGGAAGAATCCGCCGCGCTGCCATAATCCATGTTGGCGGCAAAGACGGAAATTGTTCCTTTATTTACCTATAAAATATTGAATACCTCAAGCATTTAATATTTTATTATTACTAAAATAAAAGATTACATTCTGGTAATAATTTTCTAGATTTTTATCTTCATCATTACAGCCCTTCACAAGTCCACTGCTAAACATAGGCCTCCCCCAAGTAATGCCACAAAGCACGGTCCTGAGTATGGTCCACCTCCATTCATCGCCTTCCTGCATTACCAGGTCGTCGCTCCATCTAGTGTGTGTGGGGGGGGGGGGGGGGGGGTGAGAACATTTCCTATCTTAGAATTTTATCTTCACCTGCCTAAAGTACTTTGGTTTGATACCCATTATAAATTTAAATAAGTAATTCACTAATTCCAATGAGTTGATACCTATTTAAAATACTCATAATATAACTTACCTTAGTCTGAAAATTAATACTATATGTATGTACCAAAATGACTAGTTCCATATGCATTGATGATGCAATGATACCATTATAACTACCCCATATCAAGGGATGATATCTCGTAAGTGAAGGAAATGAAACAGAAGATGGGCATCAGCAGCATTTTTGTGATAACAATTCAAATAAAATACAACGGTTGTTATCCCGTCTTCTAAGCGAGGCAACTACAAAATACATCCTCCTATGAGGTAGTCTATGGTCGAGGCCTATGTTCAGCAACAGACTTGAAGTAAATGAATGTTAGTTAAGGTACGGACAGACATGCTCATTACTAGCACGAAAGCATGCTTTTAGTGAGCAAGTGCTCATTAGTAGCACGTGTGTACACTCATTGCTACTAATGGGTATGCTTATTTTGAGCGTGCTCGAAAATCAATCGACGTTTGATTTTCGAGCATGCTACCTGAGGCGCGGTTAGGAGGGGGCTTTTTCAATATGATTATTTTATCGAGTTCTGTACGGATAGCACTGTCACTATATCTTTGTACATCCATTTTGGTCGAGAGCCTGGTGCTAAATAGCAGGTCTGTCTAAAGTTTGCTTTGAGCATGTTTATTTATGAGTATGCTTTAAGCGTGCTTATTGTTGGCAAATGTGAACAGTTGCAGAGCATGCTAATTTTAAGCAAGCTTATGAGCATGCTTTTTTTGAGCACGTCTGTCAGTACCATTAGTGCCAATAGTGAAAATTACAAAATCGGGAGCCGATAGAGTAGCGCCGTAATCGGGTCATTTATAAATTTTATATTTATAGTAAAAAGTCTAAAGTAAATTGTGAGTAAAATAATTCAAGAGTGAAACTAGTTGTGCCAACTAGCGGAAAGGGCAGAACGGCGTCTGTCGGGCCAACTGATATTTTCTAAAATTCCATTTCAATATTGTATATATATATATACACTATAGGTACTGTTTTTTTTTCATTTTAGTATTAGATTTTAGACTTGGCGAAAACACCTTCATGTTCATTGTCCTATGGTAAAGATAAAAAGAATCAATGGTATTTAAATCCGTCCAGCTGTTTATAGGTGATTATGTTACGTTTAGAGAATATGTAAATCAAAATTTAAAACATTAAAGTATTTAAAAAAGTAAGCTCCAAAGTTAAGGCTTACATATTAGCAATAAAATTAAAACGGCCTCTAATAAAATTAAGATGACGGGTTATGATTAATAGTGAAACGAGCAAGGTTAAACTACGCACCTCGGATTTTAAATTAAATGTTAACAACGTAGACAGAGAAACCTATAGACTAATGATTAGCGTGGCCTCGAGTGAGAAAGGACGATAGTGTAGTTTTAGGTTAACCTATAATGTTTATGACTTTTAAACATATTTAGATAAAAAAATTTAATTGTTCTAAGAAGTGAACTGAAAAAGATCAGTTCATCAGTCAGATCACCAATCTCAAGCTCACAAAACACTTTTTTCTCACTTAAACCAACTTGTAAACTACATAGATCGCTACGAACTGTCAAAGTTTTTTAGCAAAGTGTAGTTTGCTGAACAAAAAAACCGCCACGGAGAAAGGGACCAACAATCGCACCGCTCTGTCTCATTTCTATGCAAGACGTATGCATAAATCTATCTTTTTCGTGTGCGAATGCGAAAGAAGGCGTCAATTTGTCTATAGATTTCTCTGTCTAAGGTTAACAATAATTTGCCTATATATACAACCTAAAACCGAGAGACTCACAGAAAAAAAATATTTTGACTTTGGTCTCTTAGTATATTTACGAAAATTTAATGCCCACAAAAACCGAAGTGATTTTAATAAAAAGTGATGTATATTCTGTGAACATCAGAAACAAACCTAAGGTGATAACAGTTTCTCGACTCCAAATAGTCTGTAATTCATTCATAGGGCCAATGTATACAGAATTACAACAAAGTCCCAGAAAATATATAAGGTCTCTCTATTACCAAGTTTAAATATATCATGAAACAAAAACTGTATAAAAAGGGTTATTATTAATTTAATACTAGCAACGAATAGTATATTCCGTTACACGGAGAATACCGAATATTTTGCGATCTTCCTGGCCGAATAGCCGAAGATTCGGCAAAAGTAGAGGCAGTGGCGAAGCTAGAGCTCCAAGCTAGGGCAAGCCCAAGATATAAATTGATAAAAATATATATTGTTGTTTTTAGCAGTTTTATAAAAATACACCAATTTTGATCTGTCTCCACGCTTCGGTTTCATATTCAGTGCTGTCAAGGACGTGTTTAACAAAGCACACAGAAGGCATACCACTACTAGATAGATTGTATTACATATCAGCAGTTGCATAGCTTTGGTGGCTTTGAAGAAAGCCGTTTGGGTTTGTTTAAGCGAAAGAAAAAAAATATTTACATCCAATACAATACATGAACAAAATTAAAACACGAACAAAGTACAAACAAACGATTTACAAAATTAAAAGAAAAACGAATTATTTACATTCTAATGGATAAGAGATAAGATAAGATAAGTGGAATCGTCTCGCTTTCTTATGGAAAGATTTAATTACGTTCACGTAAAATGTTGGTGAACGTTTTAATTGTACCAATAACTGTTTTTAATTGCGATAATTGATAAGTCTGAAATACACTCTTAACCTTGTGTATTATCTCAACAAAGTTTAAAGATTTCCTCTCCGATTATCACTTTAACACACTTCAATTCATCACAAGGAACACTATTATCCTCCATTTTCATTAAAAATCTTTAAAAAAAGCATAAATTTTGAACTCATATTTCTTAAGATAAGCACACAGAGTAAAAAAAACATTGAAACGTGAAATGAACTTGCAAACGTATTGCCCGCGCGCCTCCGCTTTTAACAAATTTATTCCCAAAAGCCTGGCTTCAAATCTCTATACTAATTGCTATGTATACAATCGTAGTTATATTTCATTATAGAATATTTTGCCATAGGTTAGAAAGAGAGCGATCGTCTTCTCGAAAGCCCCGTAAAAAGCCCACGCGAGCGAGGAAGACAACTATTAGCTCTATTAAAACTCATTTTTTTATGACAGAAGCAGTATCGCTAAGGCAATACGAGGTCATCGGTCGACATGTGTCAAACAGTGGAGTGCGTGGGAAATTTGAAATAGCTTGAAACATTTTACGAGTTATTTTATTAGTTGATATCATTGATTGATATTGTTGATTGATTCAGGTTTAATAAGGCAAGCCCGGCTTTTCGGCTTTAATGGAAGCTTCGCCACTGACAGGATACCATAATACGTATACTAACATGTCAATTCACACGTATAAATGTCAATACGGGATGTGTTTTGACGTTACAATCGTTTCTCTCTCTATCTATTTACAAATAAATATGTATTAAAATTTAAACGATTTTTTAATGATGATCTTGAACATTAATCAAAAGTCTAAATCAAATCAAAAGTCTAAAATGTGTAAATTTAGTTATTTTATTAGTTGATATTATTGATTGATTCAGGTTTAATAAGGCAAGCCCGGCTTTTCGGCTTTAATGGAAGCTTCGCCACTGCTGAGAGGGAAGTAGTGTTTATTCTTCAGAGCGTTTATTCTCTGAAGCTGGGATAGTCTACCAGAAGAAAATGAGTAAACTATTGACTGAAAATGAAGAAAAATTAGTCTTTCCGCACCGTTGTCTTCCACTTTACGATAATTCGAGTGCATAGACATTTATCTGATAGTTCTTTTTTAATTTTTATAAAGCGGAAGTTGATTATGTATCTATGACTACTATAATGATTACTAGAAAAAATTTAATTATAAAATAATATTTTCATTGTACCCTTATCTGACTACACTAAAAGTTCTTACTTAAGGAAAATTTGGTGGTTTTTCTATTTCACATATTTTTTTAAGTTTTATAGATTACAAACCAAAATTGTAGTATATAATTTTTGACTTTATGACTTAGGATTGCATAAAACACGATATCATGTAATTTTCTCGATAGAAAAAAAATTGCAAAGTAGGCTCTAATTAGTAACATTTCTTCAAGACACCCAAATATTTTTACGAATAAGTTCATGGAATGATTTTTAAGGCATAGTAAATAATCATATCTAAGTTCTCATAAACCATTTTATTAATCCATAACGAAGTTTTGTTGAAAAAAAAATGAAAAATGTTTGGCGCTTACTTAGTTTTTTTCCGAGCATGTGCTCGGTATAGCTTTCTCATAATTTGCGTATTATGAAGTAATTGCATCACTTTCATTTTGACACTCCCTCAGTCGTCCGTGAGCTTCACTGACAAAGGAATAAGCCACGCCCCCAAAACTACGAATCATTTTCAAGGTATTCTCTTAAGTAGTCGGTAGTCGGCCTAGACCCTAGATATTTAGTATTCGATCGAATAGGGTAAAAGAAGTCGAATAGGCCGAATACCGAATAATAGCCGAATATTCGTTGCAAGTCTAATAATAACCCCTAGGAATGAGGTACGTGCTTTCAAGCGGTTTTTTAAATATGTTTTGTAAGCTATTTGTACAACCATTTTTTATTGTAAAATGTTACGTTGAAAAAAAGTGTCGCTAAGTATCTTGGGGGTTCTTTCTAGGATAGGATTTTTCCGTACCTTTTAACAGAAAAAAAAATGACTTTGAGTTACTTGTAATTTACATTGAGTAAAGATTATTTTATTCTATTCCTCTATGATTCAGAAGAAAATTCTCGTATGGGGACTTTTTTTAAATAATAGAAAACCACACAGACGTTCACTCTTATATTAGTATGTTTTAATATTATAAATTCTTAAATCACATTGATGTCTAATTATAAAAGTTATCTTATAGTCAAAACTAACAAGGTAGCCTTTAATACCAGGAAGTCGAATATTCTACGATATATTTTTTGCTGTAGGCGGCAAGTAATTGAAATAAAGGCGAAAATCATTGAAATAAAGTCGTGATATAAAATTAGCTGAATGAAATATAAGTTGGCAAAAGTATTTTATATGAACGCCCAAGTATTTTATATGAACACCCAAGACTTGCAGTTGCGTGTACGCTCTTCAAATACTATACAACATTAATATATTTATTTAAGACAAATTGATTTTCGGCTACTTGGTGTCTCTCAAATGTAACGGGTATCAATATACCCGTTACATTTGTGCATGATGAATATACTAATTTTTGTAATTTCTTAACGGACCTTCATATACACACGCAGCCAAGTAGCATTTAAAAAAATTAACACTTTTATCTCGATATAATTACATTAAAAGTGATAACGTGCTCATTGACATTTGTAGGTTGAGAGAATCAGCTGTTATCTCCATGACATGCAGATGTAGTGGCAAGCGCAATCCTAGACGTCTCGCGTCGTAGACCTTGCTCTAACAATTTTGGGACAATCACTCTATGTGTCCGACAGATAATTTATGGAAGTTCCCTCATTCGACTTTACAGTACTCATAGAAGGAAGTTGCACGTTCTCCTACGACGCCATAACACAGCCAAATTTATAATATCATCATGATATTATGATTAAATACTGATAAGGAGTGACCTACTAATAAAAGGTAGTTGCCCCGCACGATAATCGTATCTTGCGCGCATTATCGTTATAATACTGAACACTATCGCCAGACTAATTTATGTATGTTTACTTATAAACGAGGTCAGTCTTGATTTAAATGTGTCATTAGATCACTTGGTAACAATTGAGTTCCTTAATTACTTAATTTAAAGGTCATTATCAAGTGGTGTCAAATATACTTGAATTTAAGTTGTTGTGCATAATAATATTGTATGTTAATTCAACTTTCGTCCAGTTTCAGAATACATTGCCGGAGGTGAATTGTTAGCTGTATTGAATAAATACAAGATATTGCCCGAGGAGCTTGTGAAAGTGTTTGTTGCTGAGATTGCTATAGCCATTGGTAAGTGTAATTCACATCTTTACTATAACATGACTTGTAATGGGAAGTTAAGATATAGTAGATAGTGATATAGCGATAGGTCACACAGATTTTATCTATATTATTATTTTTTGTATTAAAATTAGAGACTGTTCTTATTTCTTTGAAAAATATTTATAATAAAATTTAAGTAGTGCTGTTGTAACAAATACAGAAGTTAACTTGTATATTATCCTTATTATCATTACAGTCTACTGTTGAACATAAACCTATTATTAAACATTATAGATTTTATAAATTTTTATATATGTATGTATTTTTTAAAATAAAAATATATTCTTCCCAGGCTCTGTCCTGTTTTTATCGAATCAGTGCTAAATTAAACTTATAAAAAAAACACTCACGCCTGTCACCCAGAGGGGTAGGCAGAGACTACAGACTTCCATTTAGCATGATCCTGACATACCTCTCTCGCCTCTACTTAAATTAAACTTATATTACGTCTTAATTTTGTTTGAAATATGTAAAGATTTGGCTGTGGAGCAAACTCTTTTAAACATTTTAGAATAATTTTTGACATATTCTCTGAAAGTATCGAACAGATTTTATGATCTTTCATGGTAAAGTTTGTATAATCTTCGCCTGCTCTTATGAATTCCTACTGTCGCCCACTCATTAAATGCCTTGCGACTGTTACTGGAGAATGTTTTAGAAGTAAAATACTCCATATATGGTCTGAATTATTCTTGTAAGAAAGCGATGGAAGGTTTTTTTTAACAAATTACTTCTAAATCTCCAGGCGTTTTGAATTAATCGGAACAAACACAATTTTCTTAATTTCCTGTTTTTGGTGAATATAAGGTAGTGAAACCGGTTGTATGAGATTGGAACGTCAAACATCTCAGTCGCCCCCGTGACCATGGGTGCTGTAAAGAACCCTGTAGCTGTAAGAAAGCTGTAAGAAACGTCATGAATTAAAAAGAAGTTAATTAGACGCAATAAAATCCGTAATCATCATTAATAGATCTTTTTATTGTAATTGGTGGGGGATTCCTTTTCTGCCTAGGGGTCCGTTCACACAGACCGGCTCGAAGAGGAGGGCAAATTTTGATGAGCAAATTTTGATGATTAAAATAGAACTTTAGATGATTGAAATAAGGTTTATTTTAACATTTCACTTGTTTTATTTTATAAGAATGCTTGAGTGCCAACCTAAGGCGCTTAGTGTAAAACAATAAGAGGAGCGGACCGGCTCTGACCTGAACGGCTTCATTTACGATTCTTTCGCATTCGCGTCCGATTGCGTCCGCTCTTGCTCCGATTGCGTCCTCTCTTGATCCACGTGCGCCAACAGCCGCCATTTTGATAATAGATAATATACTATATAGGATAATTTTGATAATAATGTTTGAACGTAACAGATGTGAAGAGCATACGCTGGGTTCCGAGCTTATCCACTTTAACATTGCTTTTCCAGCTGTTCTATGTGTAACCGCTTGGTCGGTTCTGATAGGTGATAGGCACCGGTCTGTTTTTTTTATAGAATAAGGGTGACAAACGAGCACACAGTCCACCTGATGGTAAGTGGATACTGCGGCCCATAGACATCTACATTTATCCTCGATTAAGAATCAAAACGCAGATGCGTTGTCACCCCTGAGGACTGAGGTGGAATGCCTCGTTTCCAGTAAAAAGGGGTCTCCGGATCTCTACACTCATCATACGAATCACAGCAGTATTAAGCTGCTATTTTACGCTGGTATTCTGCGAAAGCGTGGTCCTTCCCTGGTTGAGCCGACCGATTCGTGCTACAACCATAATATAGCTGCAGCGTGGCTCTACCACGTACCAAAATTGAACCACTGTGTGAAAAGAAAAGTACCGTTCGATGTTCTCCGAGCCGGTCTGTGTGAACGCGGACACTAGAAGTCCGTCTGGGTGTGCAACACCCTTTTACGTATTTCTGTCGCTAAATTGCAGTGCTTTCACTGCTGTGCTCCAGTCCAAAGAGCATAGAGGGTATGTTTACAGACTGGGAAGCAATTAACCTTAGTCCTCAGAGGTGACAACGCACCTGTAGCCTTCTTTGTTTTGTAGTTGGCTGTAGGTTTTCATGAACTGCAGTAGCCGCTTGCTATCATATAGGTCACTGTACATTCACTGCACTATAAGTTGTTTGTGTTCGTTGTTTTGTTCAAAAACAGAACGTACATTCCTAATAGCTATCATTTAAGGAGCTTGGTACCCATTTACGTACCAGATTACAAGTATTTTGGTAAAACTCTGGTAAAACCGACGACCTGGAAAGTAGTTTTTTCTGAACTTAGCACCATTTTCACATGTTTTTTGTAGGACTATATCTATACGATCTATACAAATAAATAAAATTGATGTCTTTTTGTAATGTCATAACAGCGTTTAACTAAATGCATTTATAAGTATAAACAATACTTACAACAAAAACACAATTTTTCTATCTGTCTGTTTGTTCCGGCTAATCTCCTAAACGGCGGGACCGAGTTTGACGTGACTTTCTTTGGCAGATAGCTGATGTTATTAGGAGTAATTAGAGCCACTTTTATTACAAAAAAGATTTAGGGTTCCGCGCAAGAAAATTTAAACCTATGAAATTCTGAACATAATCCAATTCAAATAGGAAAATATAATAATAAATTATTATTACTAAAATAATTAGATAGATAATAGAGAGCCGTGGGTAGCTCAGATGGTTAGCGCTCGCTGTAAATATAACAGAACGCGAGTAATCCGGGTTCGATCCCCGCCGGCACCAATGAAATTGTTAATTGCAATTTTAAGTGCTGATATACCACGTGCTCGTCGGTGAAGGAAAACATCGTGAGGAAACCTGCATGTCTAAGGAATAAGAAAAAAATGTTTCGAAGACATGTGAAGTTCGCCAACACGCATTGGGGCAGCGCGGCGGACGCTTCCTTGCCCTAAAACCTTCTCAGAAATGAGGGGAGACCTGTGCCCAGCAGTGGGACGTATATAGACTGTAACTTTAACTTTACTTTTTTACTAAAATAATTGCATGCAAACGAAGTCACGGGCACAGCTAGTTCGCAATAATAGTAGTCTCAACATTAAAGTTCATACTCGACCTTGTGTAAAATTGCGTACATTATTATCATGGAGTGACGTGTTTCTTGTTAAAATTTTTAGATTTTCTTCACAATGCTGGAGTCATCTACCGGGACTTGAAACCAGAGAATATACTTTTGGATACAGACCATCACATTAAGCTTATTGATTTTGGTCTTTCGAAGTGGCTACCCATTGGATCACGAACAACAACGCTCTGTGGCACTTTGAAATATATGGGTAAGTTGGAAATTCCATATCTATATTGATCCTTTGTTATACATTTTTAGACTAAAACGAGATACGGTATAACTAAAACGGTCATTTTCCATTTCAGTGTGGGATTTGACTCGTTACTTTGTTTAAACATGAGATGGCTCTATGCTCCGGTCATCCTGTGACCTTTTCCCTTCTGAAAAACGTCGGGAGTGCGTAACGGAGAGAGTTTGCGTGATTATGTCAGTGGAGGCGGTTGCGCGAGCGGCTTGCCAGTGACAACGGCAAGATGAACGCCCGCAGTATTTCGTTCGAGATGTCAATGGAAGGCAGGCAAGTAGACGAGGTGGTGGCAAGTATATTCCACACCGTACTCTTTCATCGTTCCAGCGGAAAGTTCACGTACAACAACGAGGAGAGCTACTCCATACGGACAGTCAGCTACATCGACGTCGATTGCGATTTCATCGACTTCACGTACGTATGCTGCGAGTCTGAGGCCCTTGGTCGAAACGTGAAGAAGGAGATATCGGAGTTCTCTGATCTATTACGGACAGCTAGTTCTTCTCCACCGCGAGGGTCTATCAGTCTTGAATTCTTTCAGAAGCGGCGCGCCCGCTGGCCTTTCCAACCCGAATGCGTGCCTTGGGAAGTGTGGACGGTTTGCTGCGAGCTAACTGAATCACGCAACGAGCATGACATGCACAGCCAGCACGAGAGCGTTGTCGAAATGCTTCAGGACAAGATAGTTCACATTACAGAGATCATTAATCGTCATGAATACGTCCCCAAAATGCCTAGCCGATCGGACGCTGACCTTATATTTGACACTTCGTATACAGATATTCAACCATACCTTTTCAAAATACAGTACAATCTATCCGGTGCGCCTCCAACCTCTGTAGGCAACACAGTGCGTAAATTGATTCGTGATACTCTATCATTGTGATCTATATTATATTTATGTTTCCTTTATTATCTGTGGCAGCAGAGCAATGGATCTTACTTTCTTGTGTTATTGATGTACAAATTGTGTAATATGATATTATATTTGTGTGTGTAAATTAATGGCTCTATAATATCTTTTGTGTCGTTCTTATTATGTAACCATATAATTAAACAAGCTTTTGAGAATTCGAATGTATTAAAGAGTCATGGCTTACACATAGAACATATTCTACTAATAAAGAATCTTTTATCTCATGTGCAATTATTTTTACAAGTGGCAATTTTGTAAATAATTAAATTCAATCGTACTTCTATTTTATTGACAATTATAAACAACTAATGTTTTTTTTACTATAATCTAAGATGCTTAGATTATTTAATTCACAATTTCATAACAAAAATGTACTTATATAGCACAAAATTACCTAATTTAAATTTAACCATGTCGTCAGTGTTAAGTATCTAACATTAACTAGTCCCTATTTTAACTCGTAATGTTTTTCTTTTATATCTTGTGTGTAGTATTTTGTTTTGTATTGACTAACTGATGTATTTATTTCATGATTTAGATATTGATCGTTATTGTGTTGTAATAATAGTAATAATACAAATTAGTTGTAGAATTGTTTTTGGAGCAGGCTGGTTGATGTGTCCACTCATATTTTAAGGTTTGACATTTTATATTTCCATGTTAGGTAAATAAATGGCGTTTATTTGTAATTATTCACAACTAGATATAATTTAAACTTAGCTAAACATTTATGAGGTGTGTACATATTTGTTGTATATTAATTTCCCGCCATTTCTATTTTAACCAGTACTGTTACATTCATTATGAAGGTAAAATATTAGTTATTCGCTGTAGTACGAATACTTCGGTCACTAAGCGTGCCACTCGTTGACATTTGATTTATTATTTAGGAATATATTTTTGTTTAATTTTGTCTCTTATTTTGTGATATTGCCAATAATGATGCGAGAAATAACATAAATAACCACTTAGAGTATATTTCATTTCACAATTAATTAAAACTTAGAATATAAAGTTATATAACAAATAAACCATGTTTAATTAGCTAGGTGTATGCTATAGGAATTGTAAATAATGTATATAAAATTATAGATTTGTCCTTTATGTATAGATAAGGTTGAGGTATTAAGAGCTTTATAAATTTAAATGTTCAGCTACACATACTTTTTAAACAGTGAAAAATAATTTAATACAATCAGTGAGTTTAGTATAATTAGTGTTCAGAGCTCTAATTTTAAATTAGTGAATGGTGCATAGAATGTATTGTGTGTAGTGTAACAAGAGTATTTTCTCATTAATAGATTACTTATTCGTATATTGGTTTTAAAATATATTCAGATGGTTCAATGATTGCACTACGTCATCAGTTATACTGGTTTGGATAGTTGTTTTTCTGTTCAATATGACGTAAAATTTCTATGCTAGAAAGTCCATCCATAATAAAACTTCTGATTTACTTTCCTACCTCATTTTGTGACTCTAGACTTAGTGTATATTACATCTCAATTGGGAAGTGATTTCCTTTTTCCTAGTTATATTTATCACCATTATATTTGTCACCAAAGAAGAGGCTGTACATACTTTGCAACTACGGGAACATTCAAATTTTTAAAAAACTCTAATTCTAAATATCTTTCTTTGTTTTTTAATAGAAGCATTCTTCATATCAGCGAGTACCTTATGAAGCGTAATTTCGCAGCATAATTTATAGTCTTATGTTGTGATCCCGGTGATAGGACAATATGTTATTCTATCATAATAGTATAGTAATATCCTTTATTATGTGCCTCGTTTTAAGTCGTAAAGTTATAGTATGTCGAGCACATTGTAAATTAAATAACCAATGCACACATTTATGGCCTTATTTGAAAGATGATTTTGATATATCTTAAATGTGTCTAATAATGGCCGTTTTATATTAGAGTTTATGGTGAACGAGAAAGCTATCTGTTGTGATGTATGAGTTCAAAAATGCAAAAAATTAGTCTTGTGATAATTTATACTATAAATATGTGAATAAATTATGAAATATAAATTAATTGTTTTATTTTATGTTCTTTTAATCAATTTGAGATACAACCTCAGCCCGCAGATGCACAAAACACTTTCAACTCATTTGTTCACTTCAACTCTTCATGATTGCACTATTATATAAATAAATGTTTAGTCTGTTTTAATTAAATTTCAAATAATTTCAGTAAACACATACTTAGATTCTTTTTATTACATTGTATGATGTTAGTCTACATAAAACATGTTTTACATTGGGTGCGTTTGGCAGAAAAAAGCGCTAGCAAGCGCTTGTAAGCAAAATGGCGATCGTAAGCGGTAAGTGTTGTCAAATCGTAAGTAGCTATTTTCCTCTAGGACACGATGTTAGTTTTAACCGGGGAACCTAACTAATTTAAATATATTTTTGTAAAGTATTCATATGAAAAACTTACCAATCATGTGTTTTTAATAGCATGTATATGTTTATTCATGTCATTATATTACTTAAAACTAATATTGCACAAAACAACTTATAAACTCTACTTAAAAACAAACAAATTAAATAAGCAAAATGGCGGATTGTGTCAGCGCTACTGAAGTAGCAATCGTGTCCTGGCCGAAAACTATTTTAGCGCTTATAAGCGCTTGCTAGCGCTTTTTTCTGCCAAACGCACCCATTGATTTATAATTTCATCATCATCAGCATTCGAAAACCGATTGATTGGAACACACTAGCCGCATTACGTGCGCGTTACGTATTTAACGAGCAACCCGAGTCCTCGCGACAAAGCAACCGAAGAATGATAGCGTGTGATCGTGAGGAAACAGGACTGAAAAAAGGACTTACACGTCCTCCTATCATCCTATCTTATGAGACACTAGCAATTCGCTTGGGGGGAATTTATTAATGTAGCATTATTTTGATTTAAAAATACCATTTATGTTACAAATCCTTTTTTCTAAACAGAAAAAATTAAAAAACCAAACACTTGTTGGGATAAAATAGATCGAATAAGTCAGCAGCATTACTTGAAAAGAGGGAGGGGAACCAAGGTGGCACGACCTGCCAAGCGTGGCAGCTATGGAAAATATATCCTCTAAGGAAATCTATAGGGGAGACCTATATTCAACGGTATACTTATGATAGGTCGGTTTTTTATAGAATAAGGGTGACAAACAAGCATACAGTAACACACCTGATGGTAAATGGATGCTGTGGCCCATAGATTAAGTATCAAAATACAGATGCGTTGTCACTCCTGAGGACTAAGATGGGATGCCTCGTTTCCAGTTAAAGGGGGTTTTATTTTAGTACTTACTTTTGCTAGTAAAGAGAAAAACAAAGGCCAGCGTCATAAATAAATTGATATAAATGGGGTTGTATTGTGACTTACCCCCTCCCCCACAAGCTTTCGGCTGACCTGAACTGCCTCCTGGCGGCCGTACAAAGTAATCTATGGTTCGCCGCTTTCGCCCTCCTTTCTGCCAAGGAGGTCGCGTCCGTTTACGGCTTAAAGAACTTTCGTCAGATCGTTAAGCCAATCCCAAAAAAAAAAACTTACCGCACCAGGCGCCACCATGACCATGACCGATTTTGACGGTGCTTTCACTGGCAGTGGCAGATAGCTGATGTTATAAAGAGTAACTTAGGCTACTTTTATTTAAAAAAAATAATTAGGCTGCCGTGCCAAGTAACTAAAAACTGTGAAATGCAAACGTAATAAATTATATGCGGACGGAGCCGCAAAATAAAAATGTGTTTCTATTTCATCAGTTTATTAGGTATCCATTTCTCGAGTTTTTTTTTAATTTTATCTATTTTAAAATAAGTATGATGTTGGTAAACTAACGTCAAATATAAGGGAATATATAAATTCCTTACTTTTTTAGAAAGGATCGGCTTTCAATATTACTTTTAATGGATCGTTATTTATAATTAGTATGGTCTTCGTAATTCATTCTTCAAGTTGAAATTTCCACTACGAAAGGGATTTTACCCGCGGTTTCCACCACGTTCATTTTTTTTCCGTAACAATAAAGTATTTTCTCGCGGAAAAAGGTATTCATCTAAATCTGTTTAGCAGGCATAGAAACACCTTTCGCATTTCTGATAATAGTAATATGTGAAAGTATTTCAGTTATGCGCTTTAGTAACTAATTAGAGGGGTTGAGAAAAGAACTTAAGCAATTTAAAATATTTGAACAGCCAGTCAGTCAATTCAAATGACGAAAGACACCAAAAATTCAAATTATTATTTTTACAATCTATTTATTTAATTTATTTTGTAGCAAAAAAAGAAGTAATATGTAAAATGCTTGCGGCACTTGCTCTATTATTTATTTAGGATATTATACCGAATTTTATTCTGGCTCAAAAGCAAGCTAAGCGCCCCTCGGTCCTAGGCTGTAGCGTTATAAGTAAAGTAAGTAAAGTTACAGCCTATATACGTTCCACTGCTGAGCACAGGCCTCCCCTCATTTCTGAGAGGGTTTTAGGGCAAGGAAGTGTCCGCCGCGCTGCCCCAATGCGTGCTGGCGAACTTCACATGTCTTCGAAATATTTTTTTACTTATTCCTCAGACATGCAGAGCAGCATTCCTAGCGATGTTTTCGTTCACCGCCGAGCACGTGGTAAATCCGATGCCAGAGCCGTGGTAGCTCAGATGGTTAACGCTCGCTGGAAATATACGCGAGTAACCCGGGTTCGATCCCCGCCGGCACTAATGAAATTGTTAATTGCAATTTTAAGTGCTGATTTAGCGTAATAAGCCCGGACTGAACTTGAACTTGAACTTTTACTGAGGAATTAGTTTAAACCTAATCGATAAAAATCGTTCGAAATACCGTTCATGAGATTTGGCTAAAACTGTGTCAACTTATTGTTTACACTTAGGCGGAGGTTATAGGCATAGTTAGATCCGTGCGAAGTCGTTGCAGATCGCTAGTGATTTAAGGAAAAAGGTCATTGGCTGCGTTTA